TGGGCTGGGTCAGCAGGGCCCAGGGGACTGGAGCAGCTGGAACATCCCCACAAAGGTGCACCACAAAAAATTTGTCTTGAACCAACTGAAAAGGACGGATAATTGAGCAAACTGCATCAGAGGAAACAGGCTCTAACAGGAAATAAACGCTGAGGTTATACCCCGACCCTTACACCACCTGTAAGCTGTGGTGTAAGGAGCTGGCTGGATCTTCCCCTTCCCAGGGCCCATCCTGCGAGGAGTTCGTGCCACCTTGTGGGCAGCAAGGAAACTGCCAAGCAGCCCTGAACAAAAACCCCAGCGCATGGAGACACTAAAATATCAGCAAGTGGTCTGAATGGAGACAAAAATGTATTCCAGGACCCTTTAAAACAAACCCACGTGCAGAACCGGCAGACTCGTATTTTTATTGTCCACGTTAAAAGGATTCCTGTGCCCTCGGGGGTGGGATGGGTGTAGGAAGCCCAGCAGCAGGGTAAGATTTTTCAAGCAGCTTCTTTGCCAGGGTCAGGGCAAAGGGTGAGGAAATGAAATACATTTCTGACAGAAAAAAAAAAAACAGCCAAGTATTCTTGTACTCCCAAGAAATACTGTGTGAGGACTTGATACCTTAAAGGTCTTTTCCCACCTAAACAATTTGATGGTTGTAAGTGGGGACAAACGATCCTTACAACATTCTGCCCATGCTTTTAAATCCTAGAAACACAGTGGAAGTGGAGAAGAAGGCATCCCCCAGAGAGAATGACCCCTGAGGAGCAGATTGGCTCATACCTGGTGTGAGAGGTGCCGAAGGCCCCTTGATCCCGGTGGTTTCCACGATGCTCCCGTCCGTGTGCACCACGATCAGAGTGGCCTTCTCAGGGTTCAAGCTGTCCCCAATCTGGAGGGCTGTTCTCCCAGACTACAGAAGGAATTAGGAGTTTAAATTGATTAAAAGGGTGAAACACCAATAGATTTCAGTGTCCTCCAAGGGTACCCTAAAACTGCAATCAGTATGGCAGTTATTAGGTTAATTTTGGAGGTTTCAGCCAAGCAAATTCAAATGTTTCATGTTCCAGGTCACCAGTTCCATTACAGAATGAGTAGATGAGGGTGGAAAGGCAAAAAAAATAATGAATAAAAAACTGCATGTCCCCCAGCTAATGGGTTTGTGGCTTAAAGCCTGTATAGTGCAATAAAAACAGATGTTTGACCTTACTACAGCTCTTTATTTACACTGAGCAAGTGAGACTTTGCCAAGGCCCTCAGATGAAAGGCCAGACTTACCAACACGTGTCCTGAAATTGAAGCTGCATTGGCCACAGACGTGGTGAAAACATTGTCTGCAGAGGCCCCCACGTTGGCTACTGTCACTGTGGTGACTTCTGCAACGTAAAACAGGCATTAATTTAATATTTGGCTGCATCCAGAGAGCCTCATAAACAGCTAAAACACCAAATAAATGTAACTGCGCTTCCTTCTTCCTTCCTATTCTAAATTAACTTTATTTTTCATGACACCTGTAAGTTGTTATAAACACAATCATTGTGATTTTTATTAAGCTTTGGGTTGAATTGGCTTTAACCTCGAGGCAGTGACAGTTGCTATGAGCATGTGATGAACTAAAGGAAAAATGAATATCGTATCTGTACTTGGAACACCCCCAGGTGTGCTGCTTTTAATGAAAAGAGGGGTGAATGGCAAACGCCAGGATAAAGTGAACAACTGACTGTCCCTTTGCCATGTGTTAATACCCAGGGTGTCACTACCAGCTAAAAAATGCCCAAACTTACAGCCAAACGTCTCTGTGATGTTCAGCCTGGCTAAAATCTTATGGCCTGGCTAAAATCTCAGGGGTTTCATGTGCGGTGAGGGTGAAAAACCAGCCGTAGCTGAGGCAGAGACGCCCAGCCGGGCACGGGGGCTCTGGGATGTTGTGGTACCGCAGCTCGGCTGCAGAGCCCTGCGTGTTTGGGGCACTTTGTAACGGGACACAGACAATGTGACTGCAGGAGCTCCTGGCCCCGCGTGTGAGGGCGGAGTGTGGGCCGTGCCCAGGGCGGGGGTGCTCCCCGAGGGGCCGTGAGGGAGCCCCGGGCGGGCCGAGGGAGCGCTGCCCGCCCTGACCTGCGAAGGCGGCGGCGGCGGCGGCCTCGTCGGCGCTGGGCATCGGAGGCGCTCCCATCTCGATGTGCTCGGCGTCCGCCGCCATCACCGTCACCGCCTCCTCCTCCTCGGGCTCCGCCTCCCCCTCGGCCGCTCGCGGCGGCTCCTGCTGCTGCTGCCCGGGCCCCGCGGCCAAGCCGAGCCGTGCGGCCGCCGGCTCGCCGTCGTTGTGCTCCATGCGCGGGCCCGGGGGAGCCGGGCCCGGGGGGGCCGAGCCCGTGCCCCGGGGTGAGGGGTCCCGGGGTGAGGGTCCCGGCGGGTGCTGAGCCGAGCGCGTTCGGGCCCGTCCGGCGGTTTCCGAGGGCGCCCGAAGCGCCCCGAGCCGCCGGGCGCGCGCTCCCCCCGCTGGCCAATGGGGCGCGGCCGGGCCCGCGCGCGCGGCCCGCGGCGGTACCTGACGGCGCGGGGGGAGCCGAGCCCGCCCGAGCGCGGCCGAGCCCCGAGCGGCGCGGCCCGGCCCGGCCGGCGGAGAGTCCCGAGCGCGCTCGAGCCGCTTCCGATCTCTGCCGAAGGCGGGCGCGAGAAGAGCCGATCTGTGCCGAGTCCGCTCCGATCGCGCCCGAGCCCCGCTCGCCGGCCCGCACGGAGACGCCCGAACGGGCAGCGCCCGAATCCGCCCGAAAGCGACCGAACCGGGCCGAGCGCTCCGATCGCGCCCGAAGGCGGGGGGGCGGGGCGAGCGGCCGCGCGGGGGCTGCCGGGACGGCGGAGGACCGGGCGCGGGGCGGGGCGCTAAGATGGCGGCGGGGAGCCGAGGTGAGAGGTGTCGCGACAGCGACACGACAGCGGCGGCGACACGAAAGCCATTTCCGGGGGCAGGTGGGAGGGCTCTCCCACCGTGCGAGAGGGGACCTCTCGCGGGGGGACACGACTAGAGCGAGGCGGGGGCCCCGGCCGAGCCCAGCCTCGGTGCCATATCGCGACAGCCCCGACACGCTGCGGTAAATCTCAGTGGCAGCGTGAGCAGGGCCTTGGCGCTTGTGCGGGATGGGGAGAACCTCTGTCCGCGGTCAAGCCACTGTCCTGAGCCCGAGAGACCCCCCCTGGAAAATCCAAACCTCGGCTTTACATCCCGAACCGTGGCATTGAGGGGCAGCTCCTCATTATCGGGCCAATTCTTTCAAACGGGTCAGAGTTCTCTTCTAAAAATGTACATTAGTGGTCTGGGGAGACAGAACCGGTTTGACAGGTTTTGGCACCCAAGCCCTGAAGGTTCCTGCCGCCGGGTTTGTGCAGGGAGGTGCCGGCACCCGGAGGGATGCGCTTCCTGGTGAGAGTTAAACCGTTCTTTGAGGAAAGGGGTCACGGGCCGCCTCCGGCCACCATTCCCACTGTCACTCACAGTCAGCTCTAGAATCAGCACCAGCCCGGATCAATAATAAAGGTGGTGTTGGCGAAAACACCGAACTTTTACGCTCTGGTGGTTTAATAATCGCCTTTTCCAGGGGTGCTGGGCCTTTCCCTGTGGGATGTCCTGGTCTCCCCGAGGTGGCAGCACATCCTCAGGAGCAGTGGCTGCCACCCCGGCCCGGGCACTGCCCCCTCCCTGGAAAGGACTGAGGGAATCAGGACTTAAAAATAAACCTGGGGAGGGAATTCCCTGAGGGAATTCACTCAGGGCTCGCTGTGTGAATTGTAGCAGTGTGACTGACCCCCGGCACTGGTGCTGCAGCTGCAGGTGTGGATATCGAGTCAACACAGAATCATGGAATGGGTTGGGTGGGAAGGGACCTTCAAGCTCATCCAAGAGCACCTTCTGCTAGCCCAGGTTGCTCCAAGCCCCATCCAACCTGGCCTTGGACACTTCCAGGGATGGGGCAGCCACAGCTTCTCTGGGCAACCTGTGCCAGGGCCTCCCCACCTTGACAGGGAAGGATTCCTTCCCAATATCCCACCTAACCCTGCCCTCTGGCAGCTTAAAGCCATTCCACCGGAGTCCCAAGCTGGACACCTTAACCAGGTGCCTGGAGTTCGTGGGGACTCATTTGGGCCCAAGTGCATGAAACTGTGGTGATGAGGACATGGACCTCAGGGATCCCGGGATGAGGATGGGGATGTGACAGTGAAATGGCCTCTCACAGGTGGTTCTGCTTCCTCTGGAACAGAAATCCCAACTTTGCAATTCCTCATCTGTCTGAGGCAAGCTGACAATATTAATGAGGAACTTTAAGTAATGAGGTGCTGTAGGAGGTCAGTGCCATCTTTCTGCACCAGAATTTCATCTGGCTTTTACAGAAGATAATAAGGGAAACAGTGAAATGGATCAGTGGAAATCCTTGATTTGGTTTCTGTGGGCAATGGGAACACGCTGAGGTTTGACAGGGAATGACTTTGTGAAGGGAACCGGTTTGGAGGGATGGTGTTTGCAGGGATGGTGTGTGGAGGAGTGTTATTTAGGGGCACACAGGAGTCCTGTGTTCTCCGCAAACTTTCTCACAATTTACAAGCAAATGGTCCATTCTGGTTCCCATGTCTCCCTCCTTCCCGCATAGTTAGAGGGGATGAGGTGTCATCTGCTGGGAAAGGACAGGATGAACAAGTTCTGGATAATGCCTGTGCACTCCTTTAGGCTTTGAAGGAGCCTCAAGTTCCTCAGTGAAAGTGGCTTTTCCCAGCAGGGATTTCCCCCAAATTATTTTAGGCTTCATCTACTTGAAAAGGTTATTTTTGGAACCTGAACTCCAGGATCTGAGGAAATAGCAAATGTTCCAGTGAGCTGAAAAAAGAGATCCCTACAGCATCCTGGTACTGTTGCTTGAATGTTTCTGCTGCACTTCTGGTAAACATTTAGACTTATTTTCTTCTCTTTATTTTCTCCTTCTCTGTGGAAAGGAAGAACTTCAGAGGTTGTATCCTTTCTGAACCATTCCTCCCTCCATGTGGGAATCCTTGGGAAGACTGGCAGAAGTGGATCCACATCTCCTGCCCAGGAAATCCGCACGGTGATGGGTTTGTGCTCCTGAGTTTTCCATCGGCACCATCCACAGGAAGCAGAACTGGTACCACATTTCTTCCACAGGAAGATGTTTCGTGCAAGTTTAGCTGGGATCTGGCCCTGCTGGGCTCCCACTCCTGCAGAAACCCCTTTAACCCCCTGCAGCCGTGGCAGAGGACTGGAAGCCTCCTTCTGTCGTCACTTAACTCTCATTTTCTTAGGAAACAAGGCTAAGAGGTGGATTTATGGAGGGGTGGACACACCCTCATGCAGCACAGCTCACAGACAGCTGATGTAGCTCACAAGGGGTAGTAAAAGCAGCTCTCAGGGATATTTCCTCCTCTCTCATGGTAATTCACCCCACCTTTACTCCTGCCAGGATCCAGGTAACCTAGGAGGAGACACCCTCAGCTCCAGAGATTTCCATGCTTAGAACCTCTCTAGTAATTTTTTGCTCCACCTTCCTTCAACTGGAAAAACTCCCAAACCTGGTTCTGTGTTAATGAAATGAGCTGCTCTGGGAACTGGAATCCATCCACGGCACGTGGGTGGGTTCAGGAGTGGGATGGGACGTTCCTCCAAAAGATGCTTGGGATGAAATCCCTGCTTGGAGATATTCAGAGGATCTGAGAAGGGCTGGGGGAGAGAAGGGAGTGAATTAAGTCAGTCTGTTTCTTAGGGATTTGCCTCTCAGAGTGGAGCTCTGGCCGTTCTCAGACAGGTGAGAGCACGGCTATTCCATGCTGTGGGCAGGAACGGGGCCTGGCTGCTGCACAGAGCCACCTCTTCTCCAAACTCCCAGGAATTCGATGGATTGGAGGCTGCCAACCCTCTGTCAGCTTCCTTAAGGCTGACTAAGAGGTGTGGAATTTGTCTGGGGCAATGTAGACATGCACCCCCCGTTTCCTCAGGCTGACAGATACCCGACTACAGACCAAATAAAGTTCCTTAAAAAAAGGAACTAAAGCCAAGCCTGAAACAGCAAGCTTTTATCCCAGCTCCTGGTGTTTGCAGCCTCAAGTTCCTTCCTGGACCCTCCCCACAGGCCAGGCATAGCTGGACCATTCAGTATAAAATGGCAGAGCAGTATATTTTGGGAAATGGTGATTTTATGGAATGGGTCCCGTCTCCTCTGAGAATCCTTAACAGCAGTTCTCAGCTGTCATCGCTTCCCTTACAGATCCTGTTCTATGTAAATGGGATTTATTACATCTTCTACTTCTTGGCAACTCTTGCAATGATTGTTTACAAAAGTAAGTCGCAGGTAACCCAGAGCAGGCCTTGCTTGTGCACAGCTGGGCTTTGCCCTACTCCTGCTGTGTTTTCCTGCTCTATTTACCCCGGCTTATTCTCCAGGTCAAGTTTTCAGTTATCCAGATGATTTCCTGGCTCCTGATCTTGCCGTGCTTTTCCTTATGGCCATGCTGGAAGTGCCTCGACTGTACTTGGGTAGGTGATGTTATCCCTGCACCTTTTTGTGGAATAGAATCTTTAAACATGAATCATTTGGAAATGGAGTCTGTGTCAAAACACGTCAGTTTAGCGGGTATTTGGAGACACCTGCACCTCTCCCTTCACTCCTGAAGCCTTGGGCCAGCACCAACACCCTCCTTCCACTAAGACAGAACAGTGTGAACAGCCTCCTGTCCAGAGCTTGCCAAAACTTCTTATAATCCTTTTTTTAAAAAAAACCAAATCACTGTTAAAAGACATTTATTCAGGGTGAGGCTCTTGAATCCAGCTTACTGGCTGTAGGGGGGGATTTATCCTGCTGCCTTAGAGCTCTCTGTGTATTTGCTTGGAGCCTGGTCCAGGAATAAAGGAGTGAGTTTCAACTCTAATGTAGTTAAACACCAAAATCTACTGAGACAAGCCTGGAAATAGGCTGCAAGGAAGAGATAAGTGCAGCTTCTCCAGACTGACAGTCATTTGAAACAGGAATAGATTAGCAGGGAATAGAGAACTGTCTATATTGCCTAAGATGTGACAGCCAGGATTGGACTCCGGGTGGTTTGATGGTTGATTAAGAAACTGAGTGATCAGAAAGACTGCAGCTTCAGAAGTGATTCTTGTGGAAGAAAATGTGCCCTGACTGTGACTATCCACTGATTGCTCTTTATTTAGATTAACTTTGAGTCATTTCTCTGTTTTGAAATGGACTGTCCATTGGTGTTGGGTTTGCTGTTAATTTGCTGGCAGAGCCTTGGTTCAGGCTGGTATTTCAGTGTATTCTGAGCCTCTGTAAGGCTCAGCAAGAGCAAGGTAATAACCAGAGCCTTTTTGAGCAGGAATATTCTGGAGTTATGGAGTTATGTCAGAAAGAATCAGGCTCCTCTTGGCCTTTTGTTTCCTCACAGGTTGCAAGGGAAACCTGAGGGAGGAGGAGGCTCCGCTGGCGCTCAGCCTGGGGCTCACGGTGGGCAGTGTGGTGCTGAGTGTGTACCTGCTGGCCTGGCAGACCTACGTGCTGTGGGCAGACGTTGTGCTCACGGCAGTGCTGCTCTGTGCCTACGGGCTGGAGTCGGGGCTCAAGGTCACGGCCATCGCTGCCTTCGTCAGCTGAGCCCAGCACATTGCCTGCCACACAACAGTGGGCTTTCATTGCAAGGATTTAATTCTTTTGTATGGAGAACTTCTGTTTCAATTAGAAATTTTCAGGGCAGAGATGTCCCTGTGTGGCAGGTGAGACGTCCTGCCCAGCCCCTCCGTGACACTGTCCCGCTCGTGGCTTATTTATGGGCAAAGGATGAATCAGCAAAACCCTCAATGCTCTGGCATTCACCAGGGATCAATACTCAATACCCATTCCCAACACAGGACAGGAGCCAGCACATCATCCCTGCTGGGATGATGGGAGTTTTCATGGCACAGCAGCAACGTGCAGCCCAAGTGACACAGAAATGAACCAGGCCAGGACTGATTCCTGCCTCGCCACTCACACGGCCGTCTTCGAGGGCACAGCTCCTCTGCTGCTCTCATTTGTGCTTCCAGACCTCAGTGGTAATTTCCCTGACTTTAGTAGGGCAGAACCTGGTGTATCCCAGCGGGAGACAGTGGAACTGGTTTTTGTGCATACCCAGAGAGCTGAGCTGCAGGGTTTGGGCTGCTGTTCTTACTGACATGGTGTGTGAGGGGATGTCTGGTTAGATATGATGGCCTCAAAATGAACAAAACCATTCACTGCTCACGCTGACTTCTGTCCTGTTTACAAGTCCAACAGAATGTTGGCAGGTAGATTCCTATTTGGTGTTAAACGTGTTGATTTCCACTATTCTGCAAAAATTACTGCATTCAAGCCTTGTCTTTTAACTGAACAACTTGTGCAAATTCAGAGTTTTTTACTGTATCAAAAACATATGTTAATGAAAAGCTTGGGGAGTTTGTGGGGTTTTGAAGAAGCAGGTTTTATATTCAGAATTTCCTATTTTTGTATTTATTTATTCATTCAAATAAATAATGGTTTAGATCTAAGGAGTGTTTGAAGTGCAGAGCATCTTGTTCAGATCCTCGGCTCCAGCTAAGCCACCCAAAGGAAGACGCGGGTGAGCTGGATGTGTGTGAAAGCCTCTTCTGATCCTGATCCTGCTGCTGTGTGTGGGCCCTTCTCCTGTCCTGGGAAGGTCTGAGCTAATTTGCACTCATCAGGGGCTGAAAATTGAGGGGTGCAGGCCTGAGGCACCTCAGCTTATGCTGCTCTTTGCTTCCTGGTGGTGGTAGAAGGGAACAAAAGGCACTGAAGTTCCTGAGGAAGGGCCCAAATTCATCCCTTGGTCATTCAGTGGTTGAACTTGATGATCTTAGAGGGCTTTTCCAACCTTAAGGATTCCAGTTCCTAAAGGGGGCTTACAAGAAGGCTGGAGAAGGACTTTTCGTAAGGGCCTGTTGTGACAGGACAAGGGGGAATGGCTTTAAGCTGAAGGAGGGTGGGTTTGGATGAGATATTGGGAAGAAGTTCTCCCCTGTGAGGGTGGTGAGGCCCTGGCAGAGGTTGTGGCTGCCCCATCCCTGGAAGTGTCCAAGGCCAGGTTGGATGGGGCTCAGAGCAACCTGGGCTAGTGGAAGGTGTCCCTGCCCATGGCAGGGGGTGCTATGAGATGAGCTTGAAGGTCCCTTCCGACCCAAACCATTCCATGATTCAACTCCCAGGCCAGGTAACAGCAGGTTCTGTCCACATGACACCACTACAGTCACAATCAGAGTACCCATTGGCATGAATCCCCTTGGACAGATCCCAGTCAGTCCGTGGCACAGCTGACCCTTTGCTGCACCCATGAAACAACATCCCAGCAGCAGAACTGGGGCTAAGGAGCACCCAGAGACTGAATCACCAAATGTTTCTGTGTTTAATCTGCCTGAATCGAGCCCCCACCTATTTGTCCTCCCAGATTTGTTTGGCATGATGGAATGTGCCATCACAAGCTTGTTACGAGGAGTGACCAACATTCCGAGCTGTCCCTGCCCCTTAGCGAGCAAAACCCTTCCTGGATGGGGACAAATACCAGCACAAACTTTTCCTGGTGTTCACACCCACCTTGCACAAAGGTCTGGCTGCAGAGCACCTGTCAGGCTCTAAAGGACATGCTGCCCAGTGGAATTTTTACCTGAATGCAGGTGATACAGCAGAGGGGGTCGCACAGGTCAGCGTTGAGTCGCAGCCTCCCCGCGGCACCTTCCCAGGGTGACCACTGCAAACTAAATAAACACAAAACAGATGTCACAAAACGTGGGGCACCCTGTGCTCCCTCCCCACTGCCCAGGTGAAAAGCAAGGGTCAGGGGAGAGTGCCAGTGCTTGCTGATAGTCCACGGGGTAAATATGCACAGAGGATAATAACCATGAGGTTTTGGGCTCATTTCAGAGCAGGGCCTGCTGGCTGGAACTGGCAGAGCTCTGGCTGGCTGTCGGTGCCTGCTGGGGTCAGCTGGCAGCAACCTGGACTGGCACCCTCACCAGGGCAGGACAGCCCCCAGATAAAACTGTCCATGAACTGTTTTCTGAGTACTGCTGCTGCTGACAGCCCTTCACTCCGTGATGAAGGATGAAGTCTGGAAGCTTCAGACAACTCCTTCATCTCGGGTATTTCCAGGCTTTCAGTGGGAATCGTCATTATGCTGCTGACCCTGATTCCATGACAGCATCCCTCCATGCTGAGCTGGTACAAAGACTCAAAGTGAATCAGCTTCAGAGAGTTCCCCTAACAGGATCTCCTTTCCAAACCGTTCCCACTGCTCAGAGAAGCAGGGAACACATAGTGAAGCCATTGATGACATTTGCCAGACATAAAATCGCTGGAGCTTTTAATTATGAGGCCCAGCCCTTCTGAAACAGGACAAGCAAGTTGGATGCAAACAGCATTAAAAATTGAGAGGAACACACATTTTGAGGAGCTGGGTTTGGGTGGTGTTTACTTGACAAGTCTTTGTTCTCGAGCCATCCCAGGGGTGTCTGCCGCCAACCTGATTTAAAAGGCTGATCCCAAAAGGAAAGTCAGCCCCCCGGGATTTCCAGCTTGGAGATACTGGGAGATAGGGTGTTATTGCTCCGTGACTTTGTAATGTCCCTCAGCAGGCAGGAACAACGTGCAGACAGACCCCAGCTGGAGCAGCCCAGTGCTCAGGGAAGGAGGGAGGCTGAGGATTGCACTCGGTCGGTTCCACACCTGGGAGCAGAGGCTGGAACTGCCATTGAACCATTCCATGATTCCACAGTCGCCTCTGGCCCAGCTCGACCGGCACCAGCTGTTGCAGGGAAGGTGTAATAAGCTCCGTTGTGGTTTCCTTCCCTGCCCAGAGGAAAAGTTGCCTCCCTGCTCACAGTTAGAGATTTGCTGCGGGCGCAGCAGCTCACAGTAGCCCTGTCTGCACTGTGCATGTGGAGCTGGATGGCAGGCAGTGCCTTAAAACAGAATCCTGCCAACTCCCTGTCTGCATCCCAGGAACGTGAGCCCAGCCCAGCAGTCCTACTGAAATACCCCAGTGATGCACTTCAGGGAGTGGGGATCTCCTGCACAAACCCTTCTGGCCGGGCACAGCTGACATTCCCACTGCACTTCCCTTCGGTTGGACCGAATCCCTTCCTCCGCCCGGCGGTGTGGCTGGCATTCCCTAAATCCCGCATTTCCTAGGGCTGGCCGCGTCTTCCCAGTGCATTCCCCTGGGATCTCGGCGAGGAGGGTGCTGGGGCGCCGGGCGGGCGCGTCACTCCGAGCATCATTGCCGCTCTGACGGGCGGAAGAGGTCGTGCTCCTGTCAAAGCGAGCTGCCAAATCGCCACTGTCAGGCCAGGAGCTGGCTCTCCCTTCCCGCCCGGCTCCCCCGCCACATTCCTCCCGCAGGAACTCAGCCCGGCGGCTCCTCGGAGCAGGGCCTGGACACGGGCCAGGCTGCGAGCTGGGCACAAGCCCCTCCAAGAGAACAGGAGCAGCATGGAACTCACAAATGTCCAGCTAAGGAACTCGGGCTTTCCCGACAGACGACTGTCCAGAGGTGGAAGCTTTTCCTTCCTTCTTTCCCTCGTGTCACAGTCACAGCTGTTTCTTCCCGGGCCGGTGACACGGGGTCTCTCTAGATGTACATGCCAGGGGTTCAGCACACACCCTGGGGGTAGAGTGAAGGCCTGCAGGCACAAGCACTTTAATAAAACACTCTCAAAAGCCCCGATTTTTGGAGAGGACTGGCTAACCAGAAGGATCCCACCCTGCTATGGACATGTCAGTATGACACAGCTGATATTTTCCAGCCTAATGATCAGTTCATGAGCTGACCCCATCATTTTAAAAAATGTTAAATCTTAAGACAAATGAAACTGGGCACTACAAAACTGTTTCTTTAAAAGTAAGAAGTCTGCCCACACATGAGACTGTTTCCAAGAGTCCAGGGTCCCTCTGGGCCCCCAAACACAGGGTCTGCAGAGCAGACCCAAGCACAGCTCACACATCCTCTCTGCAGTCTCGCTCAGAAACTCCAGAGTGGTCTTGCCAGCTATTAAAATTTCCCTCTGGCTTTTGAAGAGCAAGAGAAGAGCAACAAGAGACACTGTGATAAGACTGCAGCTTCTAAAAATCCTTCCCAGAGTGCCCAGGAACAACACTCGCCTTGGCACAAGGGCTGGAGCTCAAGTCCTACCTCTGCCACTCCAGCAAGAAGTGGCTCTTGCCTTCTCCGTGCCCCACCTGGGGCCCAGGTGAGAAGGGGAGGGTGGTCTTGCTCCTGACAACACAGATAACGGGGCCTGGACATCCCCAGGGAGGGCTGATGGTACTGCAGTGGCACAGGGATGCTCCCTGCCAAGGCTGCTCTCTGCCCCATCCCTGGAAGTGTCCAAGGCCGGCGCTTGGAGCAACCTGGGACAGTGGAAGGTGTCCCTGCCCGTGGCAGGGGAGTGGAACTGGATGGGCTTGAAGGTCCCTTCCAACTCAAACCATTCCAGGATTCTATGGCAGAAAGGGTCACGTGCAGTTTCTCTCTGGCACACAAGTACAGGGGCACACAGTGTGAGCAATGACAGGGGCCTGCACTAGGTCTTCATCAGGGATGGGGCAGCCACAGCTTCTCTGGGCAACCTGTGCCAGGGCCTCAGCACCCTCACAGGGAAGAATTTCTTCCCAATACTCAACCTAAACCTACTCTCTTTCATGGAAGAGCTGGGGCAAGATGAGGGGCTTTATGGCCAGGTAACCCCAAGGAGCACAGTGCCATGGAGAGGGTACCCCGATGGATGCTCTCCCCCACACCCCTCAGTGCTCTGGGGACCGGGAGAGAGAGGACATTTTGCCCTCTCCCCCCATCTCCCGGCACCTTTCCCTGCTGCAGACATCAGGGAAGGGAGAGAAGGCAGGAGCGGCGCTGGAGGAAAACAACCCGTGAGCCGGCGCGGAGGAGAGCCCTGGGCTGCACAAAAGGGGCCTTGTTCCCCCACGAGGCGATCGGGCAGCACGTCCCCTCCCTCACCGGCGATGGAAAACCGAGCTCCAAGCACTCCTTCACCTCCCCTCGCCGCCTTAACCTCCCCATTGGGTACAAAATGTTCTCGGGTGCAGGAAACCTGAAGTTTAACACGCCCTGGGCTCTTGGTCCCCTTGCCCGGGGAGTGGGCGAAGGCCGCACAGCCCCCGGCGCTCCTGGGGCCACCAGCCCTGGTTACACAGTAACCTGTTGCTCCGGGTCCCAGCTCCACCTCTCGCTGCCTCCACATCCCTCCCCTCCTCTCTGCTCTGCCAAGAAACCTCTGTCACCTGCTCTCAGACAACCGGGGCGAGCGGCACCGGGAGGAAAGGGCAGCAGGAAGCCAAGCACGGGGACCCCCAGGCCGGGGTGCCGGGTGGGCTCTGCCTCGGGCTCCCCTCCAGCGGCTGGGGCACCGCGATCGCAAGCTGCGCAGGGAGAGCAGAGGGAGCTTGGCTGCTGGAGAATGGCAGCAGGATTTAACTAGGAGGGCACGGAAAACTGGGAGAGAACACACGGGAGCTGAGGGAACTGCGGGAGACGAGAGCGGCTTCTCAGCACCGGTGAGTCCCTCCTCAAAACCTAAAACTTCACATCCCCCTCCCCAACATTTATCCACTTCAAAAGTCTGGCTGATTCCGCTGTGGAGGGAGTGTGGCTGGGGAGGGGCTATGGCTGGGAGATCTACCTGGGTAGTTTTCTGTTGTTACAGTATAAAAAAAGGTAAAAACCTGTACTTTTCCCAGTGTTGCGTTTTCTGGGTTTGTTTCCCGTCCTGGCGATTCCCCACCGGGAGAGATCCAGTAGGTGGCACTTTCTTGGCAGTAAACTGTCCATTTGGCACAGAACGAGGCTTTTTTTGTTGTTCCTAATTAAATCTGGAGACGTACTTTTGAGCAGCTGTTTGTTTGCAAACCTCGGGGTTTCCTCGTTTTGGGACACGCGTGGAATTTTCGCCGTTCCCCGCCGGGCCCCTGGATGAGCCGCTGCTCTCGGTGGGTGTGCTCTCCCTGCCCCGACCCTGGCAGGACCCTGTTTGGGCACGGAGGGAAGCTCGGAGCTGCCGCGCTCCCCGCCGTGACAGCTCTGCCTCCCTCTGCGTTAAGAGTCGGAGCGCAGCGTTCCCGTCCCCTTTCACTTCTATGCCTGGAAAATGCCCGTGCAAACTGCACCCAGCACAAGGCTCAGGGACGAATGATGTGACTGCCATTATTTTTAAATACTGGAAGTAACTGTGACACAGCACAGGAGTAAAATCCGGTGATTGCCCCGCTGTAATTAGGGCAACGGGGAGTAACGCTTGCGTTGCTGGGCTGCTCCGAAACGCTGCCACGGGGATCGGATCCATCGGCGGTTGCTCGTCCAGGAGCGCCAGCACTGGGCTGGGATCTGCCCCTAAAAAGGACTTTTTCTTAGTAGAAATAATGACAGCCAGAGGCTCAGCCCCCGGCTGACACAGCAGGGACCCACGCAGGGCTTCACCCACGGATGCCGCAGGCAGCAGCACATTCCTGGCTCTGTTTCCTTGCGTGATGGAGTTTTCAGGTGATTAAGAAGGAAAATCAGTCCTCCACAGACAGAAAGGGCAGGCAGTGGTGCTGAATCAAGGAGCCCTTTAAAGGAGGACCGGGAAGAGGGGCTTGGGATTCACTGTGGGAATGTGTCTGTGAGAGGCAAAGGTCGGTGCTCGGCCCGGTTTAAAACCAAGGCTTGGACGTGCTTGGAATGTGCTGGGAAACAAAATACTTTTTGTAGGGCCACAGAATCATTCTGGAAATGAAAGGTTCAGAAGAGACACTAATGCACTACAGGACTCAGGAGGTTCCAGTCCTTGTGGCAACAAAGGAAGGAGTAAAACAGGGAGAACAAATGCGTTGGCTTGTGTGGGCTTGAGAAACATCCATACTCTCGGAGTATTATTCCCAGAGGGCTGGATCCGGGGGTGCTTTGGAGCTGTGTCTCTGTCGCACTCTGTTCTCTCCCTTCCATGCCAAGGTGTGGAGTGCTGGATCAGGGCAGGTTTGTGGCTTTGAGGAAGACTCAGTGTTTTTCTCCTTGCGTGGGGCTGGTCTGGCCTCGAGTCTCCTTTCTGTAGGTGCTGTCAGTGCTGCCCTTCCCCCGGGGAGACGGGAGTGCACGGCCTCTATTGCTTTGGCAATAAAAATATCACCCTCTAAAAACAGTCAAACCTTATGAGCCCGCCCTAGTGACCGCCAAGAAGTCCACTGACCTCCTGGACTGACAGGGATGGTCTCCTGCCCTCCAGTAAAGCTTTATCAGCAGTGAGGTGTCTGCCTGGCAGGGCAGTGCCAGCAGATCCAGCACCATGTGACTCTGCCAGCACAGCCTTCTGAGCCACCTGCTTCGGCCAAGGTTCAGCAGGTGCCCAGGAAAACACCCACCTGCCTGCCAAGGAGCTATTCAAGGCTCCCACTCAAAGGGAGAGGAAGGATGGTACCTCCAGAAGGCCTTCTGTTTGTCCAACTACATTGTCTTTGCACCACCAGAAGTGGTGCCAGGCACTGTACGACACCTGAGTGACACAGGACACGAGATCCAGGGAGGTCCAGGAGGCCTGAGATCACAGTGTGGCTACAGATCTCCATATCCTCACAAGACCACAGTCAGGAACACAGCAGAGAGGAACATTAAGGATTTTCATGGAGTGGGGAGGCTCTGAATAGCATCTCTGTCCACTTGCAGAGGGTTTGAAATGTCAGGCTCAGGGAAAAATATGCTGTCACCCATCCCTAAAGTATTTAGTGTTCCTGCATCAAATGGGTATCAAGGAGGAGAGGAAGGGGATCCTGGGAGAGCTGATCCCATACATTGGTGTCATGCTGTTCCCACATGGACAAGGCCACCTCTGTGCACAGTCACAGGCAAGAGTCTGTCCTTTCCCAAGGGAGCGAGAGTTTTCCTTTCTCCTGGGCTGGAGACAGTACTGCCTCCAAAACTGAAATGCACACTGCCAGGGGGGTAACCAAAAAAGCCCTGGCGTTTTATTTCCTGATAATCCAGGTAAATTAGGAGGAATGGCAATTAAGAAGGGAGGGAAGGGTGTGGAGCTGAGCTGGACCGGTTTGGAGATCTTCCCCATTCCCCTGCACTGCAATTCCCCAGGAGAGCCCAGCCCTTGTTCCCACTCCCCAAGTGCTCCCGGGGGCGTTACTGCAACGTGCTCACTGCCACTGAGGATCTGCTGAGGAACAGAACAAAAGCCCCTGGGAAGAGGTGGGGAGTCACAGGCTCTGCCTGTTCAGCTGCCCTGGGACAGGGCTCGAAGTGCCCAGACAAGCTGCCGGGGCCCTGATTTGGTTGGAAGCACCAAGCGAGGCTGGAGGTGCCTGTTCCTGCAGGCACAGTGGAATGAGGGGACCCTCACAAGGCAAGAGGCTGATGGCAGAGGCTGAGCTGCTCCGGCCCGTCTGGCACAGAGTCAGACCCTGCTCAGGATGCTCTGCCCTCACATCCATCCCTGCCTTCAGAGCAGAGTCCAAACAACCCCTCTCACAACCATCTCCCACAAAGGTTCTCCTTATCCTCCTGAGACTGGCAAATACGTCTCACATGTCAAAATCCTCATCTCCAGTGCCAGGGGCACATTCCCACATCCAGTCCACAGCTGGGTCTTCACCCGCTGAGCTATTAGCCCACTTCTCCTTTCCCACTCCCTGGACACTGCCACAGTTTCTCTCAGCCATTTCAGCTGGATGGAGGAGCTGAGTGTCAAGACCCAGGGCAGGAAGGGGCAGGATGGCATTTTGCAACAGCCCCGGCCATTGGGATGGGCAGGTGTGGCACAAATGAGCCCTCATGGCTCATGGGCCTCTGACCCAGCCTTGCCCCAGGTGAGGGCAGCTCCTTGCCTGGCTGGTGGAGCAGTAACACTCCACATTTGTGGGTTGTGGTCTTTCAACACCACCTTGGAACAGGCCAGGAAATTCTTTCCTATTGTTGGTTTCTGGTTGGGGCACTGGCCCCCAAAAGCTTTTCATAATTTGAACTTGTTTAAGTTTAGTCCTTCCTGGATCCTTCTTGTTGTTTTTTTTTCCCTCTGTCATATCAGTCTCAACCTGTCCAGATTTATATACTACAAAGGTAAAGTGCAGCCCATCCGAATGGCAATAAATCAAAGTTCAGACCCCATGGCTGGTTCAGAAAGTGAAATAGTGCTGCTGCTGGGACGGTGATTAAGACCAGGTGAACAGGCACAGGCTGAGTCAACACCACCCTCCCCCAGACTGTTTACACCTAACTTCCCTCTCGCTGAAGATGACCAAAAGTGGGAACCGTCTGGGAGCCAAGATAGCTGGAATCTCTTCATGCCTTACGGGTGTTGGCTATCGGAACTGGAGCTGCCACCCAAAGCCACGCGTCCCCCAGATTCTCTCACCAGCAAATACAAAGGGACCCCCAAACCTGACTCATCTCACTGCTGTGGACAAGGCCAGTGGCTTGTCCTGGCCTGTCACTGCTCATTGCCATCATCAGGACTCCCCTGGGTTGCTCCTCGTCCCACCGCTGCCACCAGTCAGAACTGAGACGTGCGGACACAAATTCCTCCGAGTCCTCCAAACTCCTCCATGTCCTTTTCACAAGGGCATGGAGTGGCAGGACAAAGGGGAGTGGCTTTAAGCTGAAGAATGGTGGGTTTAGGTTGGACAGTGGGAAGAAATTCTTCCCTGTGAGGGTGGTGAGGCCCTGGCACAGGTTGCCCAGAGAAGCTGTGACTGCCCCATCCCTGGAAGTGTCCAAGGCCAGGTTGGACGGGGCTTGGAGCAACCTGGACTAGTGGGAGGTGTCCTTGTCCATGGCCAGGGGTGGGACTGGATGGGCTTGAAGGTCCCTTCCAACCCAAACCATTCCAGGATCTATAGTAAGTCAGGTGTGAGGCTTTCAGTGGTGACTGTATGAAGGCAAAGCAGTGACTCTGCCTTCGCTCTCAGTGCCAAGATAAACACAGAGGTGTCCATTTGCCTGAGCCCGAGACAATCCTTTCATCAGTAAATTCACTTCATAAAAACACCGGGGAGAGTAGGAGAGAGAAAGGTAATTGCACCCACGATATCCCTTAATAAATCACAGGCTGGAGCCTGCTCTCATTTCTGATACTGCTGCCTCTTAATTATAGCTGTGTTTGGCTGAGGAGACAGAGGAGGAGAGCCAGGCTCTATGCAGAAGGGAGCACTAATTAAAACCTCTTTTCCCTGGAAAGATATTTAACGTCTTCCTCTGGGGAAGAAGCAAATGGACTTGTCTCTGGCCATTCCTGTGGGTTAACCTGGAACACTGACTTTCACACAGTCAGGCAGTTTGTCCTGTTTTCAGTACCTGATGCTCCTGGCATTGCTCCTGGGTTGAGATATTGGACTTTCAAAAGTCCTTGGAGAAGGAAGAGGAATAACATGTAGCCAGGTAGGCTGTGCAGGTGTGGATGTAAGGTTAAGAGCAGGGGTGGCTCCTCAGTCCATGTACACTGACCACAAAAAGGGTTTTGCACGTTGTCCCTTGACATGTGACACAGGCAGGACCTCTGTGATGGGGAGGGTAATCCCAGACT